GTCATGTGGTCTATCTTGGAAAATGTTCCATGTGAGCTTGTAAAGAACGTACATTCTGATGCTTTGGGGTGAAATGTTCTAAAAACATAAATTCAATCCATCTGGTCTAATGTGTCATTTAAGGTCACTTTTTTCTTATTGATTTTTCTGTCTCGATTACCTATCCATTCATGTCAACAGGATGTTAAAAAGTCCGCTACTATTACTGTATTGCTGTTGATCTCTCCCTTTATGTCCATGAATATTTGCTTATATTTTTAGGTGCTCCTACGTTGGGTGCATAAATATTTACAAGGGTTATATCCTTGTGTTGGATTGATATCTTTATCATTATATAATGTCCTTGTCTCTTATTATAGCCTTTGTTTTAAAGTCTATTTTGTCTGATACAAGTATTGCTACTCCTGCTTTTTTTTTTTCACATACATTTGCATGAAATATCTTTTTCCATCCCTTTACTTTCAGTCTGAGGTGAGTCTCTTGCAGGCAGCATATGTATGGGTCTTGTTTTCTTGTCCATTGAGCCACCCTATGTTTTTTGATTGAAGCATTTAATCCATTTATACTTAAAGTTATTATTAATAGTTATGTAGTTATTGCCATTTTATTATTCATATTTTTTCTTTTTCTTCTTTATCTTAAAGAAGTCCCCTTAATGTTTCTTATAATATTTGTTTGGTGGTGATGAACTCCTTTAGCTTTTTCTTGTCTGGGAAGATCGTTATCTGTCCTTGGATTCTAAATGAGAACCTTGTTGGGTAGAGTAATCTTGGTTATAGGTCCTTCCTTTTCATCACTTTGAATATTTTGTGCCAATCTCTTCTGGACTGCAACATTTATTTTGAGAAATCAGCTAATAACCTTATGGAAGCTTCCTTATAGGTAACTAACTGCTTTTCTCTTGTTGTTTTTAAGATTCTTTCTTTGTTGTTAACCTTTGGCATTTTAATGATGATGTGTCTTGGTGTAGAGCTCTTTGGGTTCATCTTGTTTGGAAATCTCTATGCTTCCTGGGCTTGTATGTCCATTTCCTTTGCCAGGTTAGGGAAGATTTCGGTTATTAGTTCTTCAAATACATTTTCAATCCCTTGCTCTCTCTTCTTCCTCTGGTACCCCTATGATATGAATGCTGTTATGCTTTATGTTGTCTCAGAGGTCCATTAAACTATTCTCATTTATTTATTTATTTTTATGTTGCTGCTCCAATTAGGTATTTTCTGCTACCTTGTCTTCCAAATCACTGATTCAATTGAATCTGCTGTTGATTCCATCTAATGTATTCTTCATTTCAGTTATTGTAGTCTTCATTTTTTGACTGGTTTTTTTTTTATGGTTTCTATCTTTAAGAAAACTCTCACTGAGTTCATCTAAGTTCTTACCCTAAGTTCACTGAGCATTCTTATAACCATGGTTTTGAACTCTGCATCTGATAGATTGTTTGCCTTCATTTCATTTAGTTCTTTTTCTTGAGTTTTGCCTTGTTCTTTCATTTGGGACATGCTTCTTTGTCTCCTCAAGGATTCTGGTTGCCTCCTTTTGTTTCTACATATTATATAGAGCTGCTCTGTCTCCCAGTCTTGGCAGGGTGATCTTATGTAGTAATGTCCTATAGGCCTCAATGGCACAGTCTCCCTGGTCTCCTGAACCGGGTATTCCAGGGATGTCCCTTGTGTAAATTGTGGGTGCCTTCTTGTTGTAGTTGAGTCTTAACTGCTGTTGGCACATCAATGGGTAGGACTGACCCTCAGGCTGACTGGCTATAAGGACTGGCCATGACCATAGCAGACTTGCTATTGTGTGGAGGCTGACCCCACAGAGTGGGATAAGCTGCAGCAAAGATCTGGTTCTTGCTGAGTCCATTCTTTGGGTGTGTCATTTGTGGACTAATTGGATGGTGCTCTAGTGTAGTCTGAAGTCAACCACCAGGTCTGTTTGTTCTGGGGCCTCTTTGGAGGAGCTCCAGTGCAGGCTCAGGTCAGCTGCTGCCTTTGCCTGGCTGGGGGACCCACCTGGTAAAAGCTATAAAGTGATCTGTGGTTGGTAGCTGCATGTGCTGGACTTGAAAGCATCTAAGAGAGACTATGCTGCAAACTGAGGCTTGCTGCCATTAGTGCCAAGCTAGGGGCGGCTTAGCAAGTGGTAAAGGGTATGCCGAGGCCAGCTGCTGCTTGTTTGGGGTTTGTGGACCTTTGAGGGATTTTAGGAAAGTCTGCAGCATAGGCCTAGACCTGCCACTTGTGAGGAACAGCTGCTGAAAGAGGTTCCAGCCTATGTACAAGTTGGGTAGCAAGTGTTCTCAGGGAATCACCAGGGTGGAGCGAGTGGCGCCTTAGCCAGTTTGATGGAGACTCAGATTTGGTGCCTGCAGGCAGGGTGCGGGGAGGGCTCAACAAAGAAACAATGGCATCTGCTAGCAATTCTATCCCATACTGACCTGCCCCTCCAGCTTTTGCCCTAAAACCAGATAATTCAGTTCCTCTCTGTATATCCTTGGAGGTTTTTAAGTTGCTGCCCCAGCAATGAAGCTCAGAGCAAGTGAGTCTGTGAGCGAGTAAGTCCATGCATGGACCCATTAAGAGAAAAACACCTGAGTTTCCAGCAGCACTCCATCTCACCTGAACAGAATTCCCACTGATTTTCAAAGCCAGATGTTGTGGGGATTCCTCTTTTCAGTACTGGTGGTCCGTGCTGAGGAGCCTAGTGTGGGGCTGGGACTCCTCACTCCTCAAGAGGAACTATACAATCAAGATATCCAGCGCAATTCTAAACCACTGCACATGGGTGCGGGACCAGACCATTTTGCATTTCTGCCTCTCCTACCAGACTTGATGGAACTCCTTTACATCCTTAATTATAGAAGTTCCATTCAGCTAGTCTTCAGGTGCTTCTCAAGGGTGGTTGGTTATCCTATAATTTAGTTGTAATTTTGACGTGGTCATGGGATGAGGCAAGCACAGTGTTAACCTGCTCTGCCATCTGAACCAGAACTTCCTTTACCTATCTTTAACATCTTCTTCTCTGACCCATTTCCATCTCAGAAACATATCTAAATCTTGCTCATATCTATTTAAAGTTAAAACAGCCAAAAAATATAACTTTTTTTGTTTTCTTGTTTTCTCTCAATTCTGTTTTCTCTCTTAAAACACAACTTCTCCCACTCTTCTTTCATACGCAAAAACTTCAAAAAGGAGTCGACACTCACTTTCCTTACTTTCCTCGCCCTTCACGCATCTTTAGCAACTGCAGCCTGGCTCCTGCCCCGACTAGCTTGAAACCCTCCAAACAAAAGTACAAACGCAAAGGATATTTTTTTAACCCACACGCATGTAGAACTTTGCAACATCTGCCTCTGTTGACCAGATTCCAGAACCCATCCCCACCCAAACCCCTTGCCCATGCTCCAGCCACTGTCTCATTGAGTCTGACTCTCTCACACACATCTTCTTAGGTCTTACTTGCACTCTCATTCCCTCAGCCATCCTTTCAGTGTTTGTATTCCCAAAAGACCCTTCTTCCGTTCTCTTCTCAATTGTTTCTCTCTTGGAAATGGCATTTGCAGTCACGACTTCGACAACTACCTATTGGTTGAAGATTTCCAGGCTACAGATTCAGCCCAGGGCTCCCTCTAAATGTCACACCCTTTATTTACTACTGCTTTCAGTAATATATTTTTTAGCTATTTTATTACAGCTTTCAAGCCCAGCAAGATAAATGTTGATGCAGTAGTTACCTAGGAAACTATCAGATGGGTTAGATGATAACTCTGAGGGAGGGACACATATTTCTGAAGAAAGCTCAGATTTCCATGAACAGGGCCACATGGAATAAAACAGTAATGTGGAAAAAAATGCCTTAAGATCCTTAAAAGTATTTTCAACTTCATCTCTATTCCTCAGTCTTTATATTATTGCATCCCTTCTTTATATTGTGAGGGTTGAGTCCTAAAACAAACTGCCAAGTCCATGAGTGTTATGAACACACTCACAAATAACTGAAATTTCAAATGTCAAATCCAAAATGCTAAAGATCTGCTGTATAATTTAAAGTTTAATAAACATTAAGGATAGATGCAAAGGACTTTCTCATGGTATAACTATTTCTCAAAATAGTTATAACTGAGTTGCCTTAATAACTGATAAAGGAACAACCTACATGTTTAAAAAGAAAAAAATGATTAATTCTGGAATGGGCAGGACCACAACAGCACTTATCAATTAAATGTGATATTATAAAAAAATATTTAATGGCAAGTAAAAATATCATGATATATTAAATTTCAAAATGGTTACCAAATAGTATACTTAATCTGATTCTAATTCAGCAAATAAAAAAATAATCTCTGTATATGCAGAGTCAAAAAAAGCATACATACTCCAAAAATAGTTATGGTAATAATACAATTTTATTCTCTCTCTTGTACTTTTCTATACTTCCTGAATTTTCTACAATGAATGTTTCTTAAAATGTACTTTTAAGCCAAGGATACGAGAAGAATATAAGTAGAAAAACATCATAATACAATATTCAATGAAAACCCTATGGTTACATCCATATCAAGAAACACAAGCCTAGGAAAAAGAGTGGAATGAAATATACCAAAATTCTAATAATCTGTATTAAAATGGTCATAATTTAACATATGGTTTATGTTTCGCCTTTCCTCTATTTTCTCCAATGCTTGGCAATGTGTTATATTATTTTATTATAAAATTAATGGTTAAAATTTTTTTAGATTAAATAATCTCAAAAGCTGTTTCTAAAAGCTGAATCTAGTTTTGTTTCTGCTTTTATCTAACAGTACCACCTACTCACTGAATTCCTTGGCAGTTCCACACCTCCTTCCCTCATTTGTAAAAAGGGCACTACACCTGTCCAGGTCTCTCTCCACCCCACAGGAGAGTAAAATACATAGCCCTGTTCTAACATCTATATAACAGTAAACCCAAGGGTTGGACTGCTCTCCCCTGGTCCCCTAGGGATGCCCGCACCCCCTTCCTGACCTGCTCACATTAGATGATCTGTGCTGTCCAGACTCCTGTTTCACATGACATGATGCAAAGGAATGGCTGCTTGTTGCCATATCTGCACAAGAAGGCCTGTTAAGAAAAAAGGCAGAGAGAGGTTTTATTTCTTTGTCTTATAGGAAAAATCCACATAAATTCAAGTACATAACACAAGCCTTTCAACTATTTAGTACATCTCACCTCCATTTTTCAGCAATTTTGAAAACCAAGTATGTGGTTATGTGGTGAACATTCCTGAAATACAGTCCCAATAAACTTATTTTTCTTTTTATCATAGTACACACACACACAAAAAATTAACTGAAATCACTCCCAAAGCTCTCTACCCAAAGATAGCATTGTATTTGTATATATCCTTCCAGATCTTTTCTCAAATAAATCAATACATATATTTTATTAAAGTTGGTTATCGTAGAGGAGCAAAAATTTTTCCTTGATCACTTAGGGTCCCTGGCTGCATCTGAAGGAATTTATTTCCTGCCTTTAGGCAGAAAAGAGAGAGCTTTTTCTGCCTTTTATTGCTTCTTAATTGCTTCAGCTCCAAATAATTTTTATGTCAAAGAAGCCTATTTTGGGGTGACATATTCTGGTTTCCCTTATTATAATCTTAATTTATTGTGATTTTTTTTTCCTCTTGATAAATAGTTACTTTATTGTAGTAACTGTCTGCACAGAATTCTACAAAATGGAAATGGCTTAATTTGTTGCCCAGTCCTCATTTTGGGGCATGCAGTTTACTCTCAAGTTTTGCGACTACAAACAATACTGTAATAAGCCCCTTTATACCCTTGCCTGATTATTTCCTGAGGATAAATTCTCAAAATAAAGGGCATGTATTTTGTATCCTTTTTTAAATTAAATTTATTGGGGTGACATTGGTTAAAAAATTATATAGGCTTCAAGTGTACAATTCTATAACACATCTTCTGTATACCGCATTGTGTGTTCACCATCCCAAGTCAAATCGCTTTATGTCACAATATATTTGACCCCTTTTATTCTTTTCTACCTCCTCCCTTTCCTTCTGATAACTACTAAACTGTTGTTTGTGCCTGAGTTTTTGTCCGTTAGTCTTATTTGTTTGTTGCCTTCAGTTTTATAGTCCACATAACAGTGAAACCATATGCTTCTTGACTTTTTCCATCTAATTTCACTTAGCATGATATTCTTAAGAGCCACCTATGTTGTCGCAAATGGCAGTATTTCATCTTTTCTTATGGCTGAGTAACACATACAAACAGCCAAAAGATATATGAAAAGATGCTCAACCTCACTTGCTATTGGGGAAATGTCCATCAAAACCACAATGAGATACCACCTCACACCTGTTAGAATGGCTATCATCAACAGGACAAGTGTTGGAGAGGTTATAGGGAAAAAGAAACCCTCATACATTGCTGGTGAAGATGTAAAATAATGGTACACCCACTATAGAAAACTGCATGGAGGTTCCTCAAAAAACTCAGAATAGAATTACCATATGAACTAGCATTTCCTCCTCTGAGTATTCACCCCCAAAATTTGAAAACATTTATCTGTAAAGATATATGTACCCTGATGTTTATTGTAGCATTAATCACAGCAGCCAAGACATGGAAACAACTAAAGTGATCTCTGATAGATGACTGGATAAAGAAGACATGGTACATATATACAAGGTATCTTATTTTTTAATAAACTGTTTTATGTCCCTCACAGAGTGCTGAAGTGGCATAGAGGAGGTGAACACCAATCTGGTTTACAGACTCTTAGGCTACTTTATTGACCCAGAGCCACCTCTACAGACACACATGGAGACAGGGCTACTCAAGAGAAAGAAATTCCCACAGAGTTCAAGAATAAGCCCTCCCTGCATTGTAGTAGAATCAGCAATCTCCTTCTGCTCCACTCACTTAAGA